CGTACCACCCGTCCCAAAATAGTACTGGCCCAGCCATCACAAGCTAAAACAGATTTATTACCTACTTTTTTTTAAATATTCAAATACTGGCATTATTGCAAAATAGAGATTATCATTATATTAGCTACATACGAGAAAGGAACTATGAACGAAATATTTATAGTTTGACTGAAATTGGGAAACGAATCCATCAACTCAGAGTGGCGGGTGCCATCGTTGTCCCACTCGTTACTATCGGAAAATGTTGATTTTCTGTGTAAATTATATAATTTTAAGTTTCATACTTTATTAGTTTATTTATAATCACATCTCCGCGAAAGAGCCATCAGGCCTCCTGAGTGAACCCAGCTTTGTGGTTTGGTCCTTTTAAAGAACTTTTGCAAGCCTGGCTATTTGACCCAAGGATTCCATCCAGGGGCGAACGCAGGCAGGGGTTTTGGGGGTTCCTAGTTTCGTTAGTATATTGCTTCGTGTGTTTTGGACTGTTTTTGGTTTTTGTCGCACATTGTAATCTATATATTAATACGCTAAAATAAATTTTTTCTCCGTTCCTCTGGCGATTCTACCGAACCGATTTGAAAACCAAGAACCATTGAAAAGGTACTTTTCTGTAGATGAGTAGAGTTTTTATGGTTTCACAATTGGTGGAAAATTACGGCTAAAATTGTCGTTTGAAAATTTCCGTATTTGTGTATAGTTGTTGTTGCAACCTGTTCAATTTGAGTTATTTTCGCATTTTGTTTTACTTTGTATTTAAAATTAAACTTTGTAATAAAGTTAAATGTGATGATGATGAAATAAATGATAACGATTAAGACAAAAGATTAAAGAAAAGAAAATGAAAACAATAAGAAATACTTAAAAATTGAGGTAACTGAAAGTTTACAACCGTCTGGGCTGTAGCTTTGGGGGTTGCACTTGGTGGAAGCGCCGGTGGCTGGAGTTGCTAGCGGTGTGGCTGGTCGGATGGAGGCGGCTAATAAACTTGCAGGCTGGTGGTGGATGCGTTGGTGGCTGGACGATCGGTGGACTGGCAGGTGGCTGGTGGGTTTTCGGACGAGGAGGCAACTGGTTGATCGGTGGGTGGTTGCGAGCAGGCGGTGGACTCGGCTGTATGGTAGGGTGCCTCCGCTCGGTGTTGGAAGCGATTTGTAGCGCTGGGCGGTTGACCGACTGGCGGCGAGGAATTCGCCGGGGTTCTAGGTCGCACTCGCGAAAGTGTTTTACCGAAAGTGTGTCAATGAGACTATTATCGCACGCACAAGATTTGATAATACATAACGTGATTTGATAACACGCCAAAGGTTCAATTTAGATAAAGTACAATTTCTTTAGCGGATTTCAAATTCGAGAGCAATTTGGAAACTTTGCGAATAATATATATATATATATATATATCACAGTCAGTGAAGCGCAAAACGAGCAAAAACCGGTGAGATCACGAAAATTTGATTAAGGGAATGAAAATATATAGTTTTACGTCGAAAAATGTATACACTAGGGATGGGTAAATTCGATATTCGAAGCTTCGATATTCGAATTTTAGCTCCAAAATAGCGAATTTTTGAAATCGAACTTTTTGTTGCTAAAATTCGGATAAAAACGAATTTTTCCAGAAAAAATCGAATTTCATCTTTATTTCCAAAAAATCAACTCTTCAACTTTCTTCTTTCTGACTAAATTTGCCATCACTGTGTGTGGCACTCCATTTGTCTTAGGGATTCAAGTAAAAAAATACATGTTTTTCGATCTGATGCATAAAAACAAAAACTCTGTGCCATGAAGGAACTGTTATTCCAATCTCAATTAAATTTTTTTTTTTATAAAAAAACTAGTTTCTTTGTTGCTTTTTTATTTTAAATTTTTAGAGGCTTTTACGTTGGTAGCATGAAGCTTTTGCCTGAGAAAACCCCCAGTTAAATTTTCGGGAGAATAATTTTTTAGAATATATCAATTCACTAACGATCTGCCTAATTTGCTTTATGCGAGATTTCTTGAAGTAAGGGTCAAATATGACCGTTTTAGGCGGGAGCTAATGGCTTAAAATGTTCTAAGAAAATATTTCCCAAGAAATTTTAATATATATGTATGTCTTAACCTTTAATTTCGCTCAGACATTTATTTTAGCTACTTTTTCGACTTTTTTGAAAACTACTTAGGGCGAGATATGAAAACTTAGTAGGCCATAAAATGAAAATACGAACTAACTTTTGCAAATCCATCGAGCGTTTTACTACTGGATGGGTATACATACATTCAGAAAATGTTAACAAAGTCCGGGCAGGTTCCGGCTGTCGCACAGTGTAATTTGAGTTTAACTTTTTAAACAGGTGGCCACTCTCTTCAAGCACCTCAAAAATATTTTAATTGTTGCATAGTATTTTAAGTACAACACCTCTTTAACTAAATTCGACTTTTCAAACAGGTGGCAACCTTCCCAAATGTAATTAAAAAATAAAGTTTATTCAAAACCATTTCGATTGATACCCATATTGGAGTAATTTATTTAACTTATATATAATTTGATTTTGATTTTCTTACATATGGCACAAAACTAAAACCATGTTACACATCTACAGGGCAAGCCCTTTCATTTGACACCTACCCCATTTTTGAAAATCGAACGAACGATACAGATTTTATGACTTGGTCTTAAATATTTAACGCAAACATCTGCGAAAGCGATTATTTGAATTTGATTTTCTAACCTGTGGCAACCCTTTTCATAGAACTAAAACTGTGTTGCAGACCCAAAGGAAAAGCCTTTAATTCGACGCTTAATTTTTTTGAATTGAACGATACAGATTTTATGACTTGGTGTTAAATATCTCCGAACTCGATTAAGAAGTTTGCAAGAATTTGCATCACCGAATGTCGAATCGAATAATCGAATGGTTGGGCAATGTTCGAAATTCGGGAACAATCGAATTTCAACCCCTCACTACCCATCCCTAGTATACACATATCCATAAAGCGCTGAGTCTGTAAACTTATGTCAAAGTGCTGAATTGTGCTGACACCGACGTTGCCATAGGATACTAATTAACATTTCATTATTCATTTACGATATTTCATACAAATGAATAATAAAGGGAATTTCAATTTAAAATAGTTTGGTTATACAAAGTTAAAGGTTTTTTACAAGTGAAGCGTTTTAAAAAGCTAAGCTACGGCGACCTCGCTTGGACAGAAAGGGTAATGGGCTGTTTTTGCTTAGGCGTAAAAGCACATTTAGCGCATTTAGCTCTAAATGCTACTCTAAATGTACATTTATCCATACAAAATTCTTCACCTAAATGCAAATAAATGCAACTCCATTTTTGCATTGAGAATCTAAATGCCAAAAACAACCATTTGATCTTCCAAAATTTCCACGATTCGAACTTGGCTTAATGAGAAAAGGTGGCAACATTGCCTTCGATGTGATGCTGATAGAAATCTGGATCAATTTGTGATCAACTCTGTTTGTTTTGTTTCCTAATTAAGTGAGGAAATTTTAATTGACAGCGCCGACAAATGAATATACAGGGTGTCCCAGAAGTAACGTGCCAAATTTTAGGGGAAGGTAGGTGGGGGAGTGAGCTCCCTGATAAACAAAAAATTTCAGGTAAAAGTGTCACCGTTTTTGAAATATTTACATTTTTTTTAATTTAAAACAAAATCGTGCTTTTTCATATATTTTCTTTAACTGCATCTACAAACCAGGCTATACTTTGTAAATTTTTTATGTAAAATACTTCCAGATAGTTGCCTCTCCATACTCAAATGCAATGTAGTTAAAATATATTAAGGAACCATCATAAAATTAGGAATTTTTTTTGGATTTTTAATTTTTGAAATTTTCTTCCCCAACTTTGACCATCTTTGGTACAAAAAAAATGTACTGAGCTATAACTTTACATTACACAAAAAAATTTCTAATTTAATAAAGATTTCAGAAAGGTGCCACTCTTACTGTTTCGAATAGAAAAAAAAAGTTATAGCCGCTTTTGTGGGTAAAGGACTGAGACACGCTAGAATGTGTTGAATAGATTTAAATTTAAGTTGCTCTTGTTACCGACCAATGACATGCTAAATAGTACAAAGGTACATTATTATCTGCTCCTGACATTATTTTATTTTACTTACCGGAATTCGGACAAGAGTCTATAACAAGGGCTATATCTATCGATATTTTTTGTGAAGGATGGGTTCACGTGAAATAAAATATACATGAGTTGTTTGAAGAAAAAGTTATTCATTTATTGATAAAATATGCTCAAATTGGCGACCTTCTACTCTAATACAAGCTCGGCACCTTTTAAGAAAAGACGCTTTTAGAGATCTTAAACTCAATTGGGCTATCTCAGCAGCAGCTCCATTTATTTGTTCCCGCAAATGCTCTTCGTTTTGAATTGTTTTTGAATAAATTTTGTCCTTAAGACAGCCCCAGTAGAAAAAAAAGCTAATGGATTCAGGTCTGGCGATCGAGCGGGCCACGTGATTGGCCCGTATCGTCCAATCCATCGGCGAGGATAAGTTCCGTCTAAATGAGCTCTTACTTCACGCCCGTAGTGAGCAGCGCACCCGTCATTTTGCAGCCGTAGTCTTCGCCGCATGTTTAAGGGTACATCTTCTAAAAGAGTTGGAAGCCGTTCCTGAAGGAACTCCAAATAAATGTGAGAGTTGAGCGTTGGCGGCAGTTCCACAGGTCCCAATATCTGACAATTAAAAATACCACACCATAAATTTATTTTGTACCGGTACTGCGAACGATCTTCTCTCATTTCGTGAGGATTGTCTATCTGGCAACTGTGAAGGTTATGCAAATTAAAATAACCATCACGTTTGCATGATGATTCATCGCTCCAAATTATTTTGTTAAAAAGGTTGGGGTCTGATTCATGCATTCGCAACATTTCAAGGCAAAATCTAACCCTCGACAGGTAATCTCTTTCTTGTAGAGCCTGAACACGTTGAATGTGGTAGGGATGAAATCGATGGTCTTTTAAAGCTTTGTGAACTGTAGTTTTTGGTATTCCCGTCCGTCTTTCCATCATTCTCACTGAAGTCGATGGACCTAGTTCCACTTCGTCTAACACAACTTCAACGTCTACCGTTGTAGGACATCCTGTCTGACCGCCACGCCTTCCAGGTATGCGACCTTAAAAAAGTGAAAAATGATAGTTAACAAGCAAGCAAACAAGAAAGGTGTAAAATTTACTTGCCTTCATATATTTCTCTATGGGTCCGGGCGAATACTTCACGACCCGGATGCCGACGATTGGGGTATCGCTCTGCATAGAGTCTTTGAGCAGCTCTGGCATTACAGCAAGCTTCACCGTAAATTAGGTGAATATCCGCATATTCATGCGACGTATACTGCGTGTTCTCTGTCATAGTATTAATAACACAATGTTCGAAGGGTCCAATTTCACAAAATCCACTTTCACTAATTCCGGTAAGTAACATAAAATAATGTCAGGAGCAGGTAATAATGTATCTTTGTACTATTTAGCATGTCATTGGTCGGTAACAAGAGCAACTTAAATTTAAATCTATTAAATACATTCTAGCGTGTCTCAGTCCTTTGCCCACAAAAGCGGCTATAACTTTTTTTCTACTCGAAACAGTAAGAGTGGCACCTTTCTGAAATCTTTATTAAATGAGCAATTTTTTTATGTAATGTAAAGTTACAGTTCAGTACATTTTTTCACCAGAGATAGTCAAAGTTGGGGAAGAAAATATCAAAAAGTTAAAAATCCCAAAATAGTCCTAATTTTATGATGGTTCCTTAATATATTTTAACTACATTGCATTTGAGTATGGGGAAGCAACTATCTGGAAATAAAAAATTTACTAAGTATAGCCTGGTTTGTAGATTCAGTTAAAGAAAATACATGAAAAGGCACGATTTTTTTTATAAAAAAAAAATGTAAATATTTTAAAAACGGTGACACTTTTACCTGAAAATTTTTTGTTTATCAGAGAGCTCACCCCCCACCTACCTTTTCCTAAAGTTTGGCACGTTACTTCTGGGACACCCTGTATACTTTTATTTGTTTTTATTTAATTTTATAAAAAATTAGGTAGAAGTTGAATAAAATTTTTTAACGCTTATTATAGGTTTTAAGTGTCATTGACATTGGTTATTGTGAGATACCAACTGTACATTGAATTCTTGTACAAAAATATATGTATCTTATTATAAAATTATTGGCACCAATAGATGATACTATACAAATAAGCCAAGTAAGCCATAATACTCGCTAGTATAATAACAAGCATTCAAAATCTAAAACAAAAACGACATTTTTAGAATAAAAACGGTAATGTGCATATATAGGACTTGACATAAAACGAACGTTTCATAAAACGTAAGTTTCATAAAGTGCACGCGAACCTTTCATCGTAAGGGTCAAAATCCATTGCATAGTATAATTTTTTTTTTTTCAAACACAATATTTGACTGCAATTTTTTTTATATATTTATTGGTTTCCCTTCACAGAGTTCATTTGTGCTTGAATCGCTATTTAAAATTACTGCCGTACTGATTTAAAATGTGGGTATCTGCATTTTTCTTCGAAAATGAGTTATTCACATCGTTGAATTCGTCTTGAAAATACGAATTTATTTATGCAAACTAATTTTTCAAATTATAAATAGGATAATGTTATTGAAGTTCTAAATTTGCCTTTTTGCAGTATCTGCAGAAATTTTCGATAAATACTGATGTAAAACGTGGGCATCTGCAAAAACATTGCAGTATCTACACTTTTTCCAATAATTCAGCTGGAATTATAGCTTGAATACTGATCAAAAACAACGTATCTACACTGCTTCATGCGGATACGTCGTTTTTAAAGTATTCTTGGTCGTTCTTTAGCAGGATTGGAGGCATTTTTGATATTACAGAACGACGTATGTGACTTTTATTACAAATAAATTCTAAAAACTTTGCGGTACATATTGCTTTCGTGTCGCTTTGGCGTTGCTTTTATTTTTTTAATACAAATAAATTGTAAAACTTTTGCGGTACATATTGCTTTCGCATGTTCGCGTGTTCGGAAATGTAGAAATGTAGGTTTTTAAGGCACTTAAACTTGAAAAAGGTAAAATGAGCTTTAAAAAAGGCAAAAAAAGGCATATCTTTTTTAATTTTGTTATGTACTTCGTTTATGTACAATGTGAAGGGCTAATTAAAGATATAAAAAAATACATACAGTGGTCAAAAAATTATAACCGAACCACTTTTTGCCAAGTTTTAACGTATTATATTTGTTGTTATTGAACTTTTGTTATTTTTTCAAATAAAAATATAGTTCATTCTTTAACAAAACCCGTGGAAATCCATGTTTCCAAATTTGAGTAGTCCACTTGCAAAGGCGCTATGTAAATTTTTTTAGATTTTTAGTTTTTGGCGAGTAACGTACCAGTATTTAAAGTAGTTTCATGTCCACTAACAATACATTGCAAAATCTTTCTATTTCTGAAAAAATAGCATCAAATGGTAACTACTATTGCAAAAATCGCTATAATACTTATGTATGTATTTATACACTTTCAAAAGTCTCCATCTTCTGATGAACTTAGAAAACTGCAAGAAAACGTGGTAGTTTCGGTGCCTAGTGGAGGGCGTCGTACAAAAAAAAGCAGACCAATCTTCATGGAAGAGCGAACGCTAAGCGAAAAGCTAACAAGTAATTTTTAGCAAATAAAAACCGACTTAAAAAAAATATATATATGTATATCTATATATTTCATGATCCAATGATCGGATCTAAACCAAATTAGTATGGGACCACCTCTGAGACACTACCTTTCCGTTGCAAAATTATTGAAATCGGTGGATGTGGTGCAAAGTTATGCGGTAACAAACACAAAAAAAAAAAAAATATTTCGACGAACTGATAACCTCCTCCTTTTTTGGAAGTCGGTTAAAAAAAGATAGCTATGTAAAAGTTACTGTTTCAAAACTCGCTATATTCAATTTTTATTTATAAAATGTGCAAAAGCTACCACACTGCGATATTGTTTTTTAATGTTATTAGGCTCTTGTTTATCCAAATTTTCAGATAATAAAGGGAAACATACAATTTGGATGTTACTTGTTGTTGTAGACGTTTTTTTAATTTATGGCTCACTATTATAAAATCACATAACGCTATTTGAAAGTGGACAAGTACTCATTTGTGCAATATTAAAAACAAATTCAACAATCTTTCGTACAAATTTCGAACTTTCAAAAAATTCTAAAAAATCATCGACATTTTTAGCCATATGAAACGTGTACTTTATTCTACTAGAATTCAATGGGCTACAAAAATGCATACTCAGAATTTAACTAAAAAACGATTTTAACGATATTTGTAGAATTGTTTTTTTAATTGCATAAATTTTTAAGGCAGTGTCACTCGATTGGTACACTTGTACAGATTTGTAAATTTTTATATTAGGCTATTGGTAAAAAAAGGGAACATTTTTTTTAGTAGTCAAAAGATTGGTACAATACAGCGATGTTCTATTGAAAAATTTCAATAAATCAATTTTCGTGATTGGGATAGTGAAAAATATTTTGGGTGTTCAAACAATTGGGATACGATTTGCACCGAATTTCGGCAAATACCCAATCGTGTGACACTGCCTTTAAACTTGTATTTATACGGATGTTGGTAAAGAACGAACTATAAAAAACTAACCGAAATTAAAGAACAACAAAAGTAATATTTTAAAACTTGTCAAAATTTGGTGCGGCTATAATTTTTTCGACTACTGTACATAAGTTGGCTATGATTACTCGGCCGTGCTATCATAGTAGCACAATGCCACTCATATTGGACTTACAAACAAAATACGAGCAGGAATTTCAAGATTTCAATCCTGTTTTTATGAAAAATTTTATTTTTATCAGTATTTTTCTTTTAATCAAAACATGTTGAAATAAAAGTGAAATTAAAAAAAAATTTTGCCAGAACGGAAATGTCTAAAAAAGCATAAAATTAAAAAAATATGTTTATACGTTCATGTCATGTCAATAAACAGTTTTCATCATCAGGTGGAAGATGCAATGAAGGGAGCAAAAAATACCTACGAGTTTAAGGATTTCGAAAACGCTGTACGGGAGGCAAATGAGCGAGTCGTCGTAAAGTCTATGATTTTTTCGGATTTGGCAAGATTACACGTCGATAGCAATATTAAATAGCAAACCCGGGCGTCCCCATCTGAACGACATCAAACCGTTGTAGGCCTGCAGAGGTAGCATGGAAATTAAATACAAAACGACGTACGAGTATATAGAAGAATTCAAAATTCTCGATTTTCTTCAATTGAAGATTATGAAATCGGGATTCAGACACCTATAAGAAAAGGATCGAGTCGAAGGAATCAAGAAACAAAAACATGCGATATAATTAAAAAGCTGGTGCCTTTGATGCCAGAAAGTAGTGATGTGCTGAATTGTCGGTACCCAATACTTCCTTTTTGGTACCCGATACCGATTCTTTACATTAAACCTTCGCCATTATATGCGTTTCAAGTTTAGAGAAAACTGTCATTAGTAATTTGTATAATATTGGCTAAAACACTTGAACTTATCGCAACAGAGAAATATTATTTTATCAGTTTTAGCCTAAGTCGATCCAAAGTTCAAGAAAAATGCTTTGACGAATGAAGAAGCCTTTCAGTTGGGAGATTCTATAACCAGTTAGCGACAAGTTTCGGATCGATATCGCACTTGTTGAAGTAAAAATATTTCATATCATACGTCAACAAAACCGATTTCCCCAGAGTAAATGCGAAGATGGAGTTTAAATTTTCTGGAATATTTAAGTTTTCCCAAGATTTTTTTTAATCAACTCTTAGTATCCAACTTCTTTGTGTATTTTCATCAATAACAGAGCAGCCTCCCACTATCTTTAATATTTGCCGCTAAACTTTTCAGCGTATGTATCTCCTTGCACACATGCTAACGCGCGTCAAACCCGTAGAGTTAATCAGTGAGCTTAACATCGCGTTGAAATGTCTGTACTGAGCATTCATCCAGTTCACTCTTCCACGTGAACAGTTGGGCCGTGTATACGTCGCATTAGGCTTTCTGCACATTGGTCGTCCAATCATAGTTGCTTCATCGTCACAATCATGATGCGACGATTACATTACGACTACACTTTCGCACACTCGGTC